GTGATTGTTCCGACCATCTCAGAACATCTGCATTGTCTGCAACCTCTTTGTGAACCTTTCGTTCCATATTCTGGCCTTCTATATGGACATCGACCCCCAAATCAACACCATGAAATGGATAGTGCAATGCAAAACAAAAAGAATTAAAACAAAGACAAAAGGAAATCAGTTAGTAAACACAACTCAATTAATCAAAGCTAATAACTTGTCAAAGAAACCTACCCTCACATGCTGACTACCCAATCATATTTAGTAGATCCTACCCAACATGATATCTACCCCCATGCTTTGTTATTCACGAAAAAAAAACCTAACTGCATGATATCTAATTCAACTTAACCACATGATCTCTAGTTCGCATGCACTTATTCATAAAAACGAAAATAAATGACCTAAAAAGCTTTTCCTTGTGTACACTCCTCACGGGACTCTTAAAGTTCGGGTTAGGTTCGACCTAAATTCTGGCTCTATGTTTACTATATGCTGGGTTCGGTTCTAAAGTAATAGGTTCTCAAATTTTCCTTGTCGGTGCTCCCTTGGGCTGTCGAACCCTCAATCCTAGCCCATCACAGGCTTTTGGGATCGAGTTCAATTTCGAGGGAACACACCTCCTTATGTCCATGCGGAGGTGATTACCATCACGAGGACCATAAGGCGTGAGCTCCAGGAGCGATTCACTATCCCATGCGGAGGTGAAAATCACACGAGGGAGTAGTCTCTCACTCCTACTTAAATAGGACAGAGCAGGGTTTTAGCTCATGTTATGTAAATGCAACTGTACAGTATGTGAGGAAAAGCGAAAATACAACAATACAGTCACAAAATACTTAAAAATCAATCCTCTTTAAACACATAATTAATCTGAAACCATTAACAAACAGATCAATACAACTATTTATTTGTTGATCAAATTACAAACAACGATATTAAAACCAAACAGGGGATCAAAAACCAAATTAAAACGAATTTATAATTTTCAATTGCAAAGACGATCAATTAATCAAATGTAGGCCTGACTCTATAAAAAAACGTCTCTAGCAGAGTCGCCAAGCTGTTGAAACGATTTTTGAAGTGGGGAAGCGAGATTTTGAAAAGCCACGTCATTTTTAATTATCCATTTTACGATTGATTTTTTAAATAAAAACAATATGATTTTAGAAAACCTCTCGTTTCGAAAGGTTGAGAATTCATTCACGATAAAAACACAGGTTGAAAGAGTCGCCACCAATCTTTGATTAGGGTGTGATTGGACACCCAAAAATGTTTTGTCATTTTAAATAAAAATTAATTTTAATTAAAACAACAAATTTAGGTTTACGTTACCAGAAAATGAGTTCGGGAGTCAGTTACGCGTGGGGAAGGATTAGCACCCCCACAGCGCCCTAAGTTGGTACCTCATCGATTAATTAATATCTTTGCAATGAAATTTACAAATTCGAGTTTAATTTGGTTTAAGATCCCCGACAAAACAACAATACATGAATTTTACATTATTCAAAAGTGACAAGATTGATTAAGTTAAAATTACCAAGCCTTTAGAAAGATAAAGAATATTCGATTATTTACAAATATCGAGACCATATCTTAGATAAGTTCTAACTATCTTTTCTCGATAAATTTAAATAGCCGAATATTTCTTTTTCTTCTGTTCCCAAATTTTAAAATGATAGATCAATTTTTTAAAAAAAATGTCAATAATGAGATATACTTTTAATTTAAAATCATCAAAAGCGGATATCTAATCAGTTAAGACAACCCCCTTTCAGCAATTTTAAATTAAAAGGACATTACCCTTAATTAAATTATGTAAATAAGTCGAGTTATATACATGAGGCTATCATACATAATATGCAAAAAAGATGTCATGCGGAAAATTAAATAAAAATATTATAACCCCTAATTACCAAATAATTATCATACAATAATATTTTAATGCCAGAATTATATACATAGAGAAATATCTTTCAACCATATATTATAACCCATATATATATTAATATGTAATACACCAACATAACTTAGATACACAAATGACACATAGCACACCAAACTAATAAATAAATAAAATAATATACTTATTGCAAAGGCTTAAATAATACTAGATAAAATTTGCTCTGTAAACGAAAATAACTATTAAGATAAAAATATAAATATTATACTATAAACAATAATGCCATTGAAACAAAGCAAAATAACAACACGAAGGATTAACTTTGAAATAAACTCTAAATATGTATGGGACTAAGAAGGAACATGCAAGAAATAAAGGGTCTAATTCTTAAAACTACGAAAATTATACAAGCACAGATCGGACTAGATTTAAAAGCGGATAAAACAAAGTAACTAAATTGAGTACACCGGAACCTTCAATTAAGGATTAAAATGAAACATTCTGAAGATTAAGAGTCAAATACATAAAGTTATGAAAACTTAAAACAACATAACTCATACTGAAATGTAACGAACATAAAGATTGAGAGCCAAATTCGAAAGTTACACAAAACAAAGCGAGGATTAAAATAGAACAACCGAGAAATACAGGGAGCTCGCGCGCGGTTATCCCACCTAGATGCAGGGTCTAAACGACGCCATTTTGGACACTGAATATATTATGTGTCTTAGGTTTATTTCTAACCTAGTTTCATTTTTAGTAAACCTCTCCCCTACCGCTTCTCTCAGCTCTTCCCAACCCTATTTGAAACCCTCTACCGCCACAACCCCAACTATAGCAGCCACCATAACTGCCACCTCCCAAACTACCCCGATAACGAGCCTCTCATCCACTAAACCATAACCCCAAGGCCTAGATTCTGACCAAACCCTCAAGATTAAAACCCATCAAATCCCTAAATCCATGGCTTAAAATCGACATGCATGACTAGAAAATAATGAAAAATAAAGGGTTCACCTTCTCACGGGTTGTGGGTTCCTAGCAAAGGCAACAAAAACTCATGGATTCAAGAGGTAAGTTCTCCTCTTCGTTTTTTTTGGACTGATGGTTTATTCTTTTTTTTGATGGACTGTTTTTTTTGGTTGGGTAATAACTATTGATTCCCTTTTCCTTTGGTTGTTGGTTCGTTTTTATATTTTCTCACTGATAATGGCCCTCCCCTTTTTCATTTCCCGTTATTTTTAGTCAAAATCCTCGTTTTTGCTTCCTCGTGTTCTGTTTATTTGGTGGGCAGGATACCGGCTCGGACATGGTGAGCACGGGCAAAGATGGCGGTGACCTCGGTTTTGATGGATGGTCGACAGGCATGGCTTCGTGCTGTCCCGAGGAATGCATGGTGGGTGCTGTCTTGGTACTTTGTGATCATTGAGAGTTGTTGGATCTCATAAGATCCAAAAGTGTAGGCTTCGACGGCGCTGGGCATAGGGCAAAACCCTAGTGGTCCTTCGATCTGGACCATTGGATGACAAACAGATCCAATGGTCCATGGCGTGCGGCACTGGGAACCTCTCAAGGGAAAACCCTAACGGGTTTAGGGCCTCTTCAAATGGGCTTGAACATCCAAGCCTGATTATTCTGATTTTTGGGCCACTTTGATCCAGCTGGTTGTAATTTGGACTGTAACAAAACAAATAAAGTAGTAGTTAGTATTTATTTATTTATATTTATATATATTAGTATTATATTATTTATATGTACTCATAATAATATATATATTCATATATATTACTACTATAGAACACGTAACACTATATAATCCAACTAATCAGCCTATAACTTAAATAAAATCCAAAAAAGAAAATAATTAAAAATATGCATATGAACTCAAAAGAACACCCCGGACAAAATGAGTATCTACACAATTATTATTTTTTACCACATGAAATGAATTATCCAAACAAAGGGAAAGAATATTCTGTTATAGAAAATAGAGAAATGAGAGAAATAGGATGTTCAGATAATTATTTAGGAAAATAGAGAAATTTCATTAAAAAAATCATATTATGTGTTATATTAACGCGAACATAAATTATAACTTTGATTGATTTAGAATTTCAAACATGTCATAGAAATTATCATCGATTGTCGATAATTTTGACGTTCACTGATTACATGACGATTTTATACTTATGATTTAAAGTTTAAAGTTTAGGTACAAGAAGTTTTATATTGTGGCATCTTTAATATATAATTAAAAAAATATTATTATTTTGTTATTATTTAAATAACAAAATCAATAAAAATATTATCTAAAACATTATTATTTCTATCTAAAACATTAATATTTTTTAATATTTTCGGTAAAGTGCGAAACAATAATAAAATCAGTAGTAAAAAATAATAAAACCGGTAAAACGCCCAATAATAACAAAATCGGTAGAAATAATAATATTTTCGATAATATTTTACCGGTTTTATTATTTAAATAATAACAAAACCGATAATATATTTTTTTAACTATATATTAAGACTGCCACACGTAATCATTTTTCCGTATCAAAAGATAACTTTAGTTAATTACGATAAGATTATCTTATTTTTTAAACAATTATTTGATAATATTATTTTCCTTTTTTTCATATTCACAATTTTCCTTAATTTAATATTTTAAAAACACATTTTTTTTTGTTCAAGGTTGATATTTCGTATAGCTATATGAATATTTTAATTATATTATTTACTTCCCTCAATATTCTGTATTTTATTTTCCTTCATTATTGTACGATTAAAAATTAATTAAAATTTTACAAATGTAGTAAATTAAATTGGGGGTTATTTTTACTTTTATAATATTCGATTCGGATTAGTCGATCACAAGATTAAAAGCTGCTGGTTATACCAAAAAATTAATCTTTTATATTAAAATAAAAACCCAGGTCTAATTTAATGTATAAAAATTGTTATATATAAAACGTAAAATTATTTTAAAAATAGAATTTAGAAAGGTATTTATTTTTAAACAAATATTTATAATTTTGGTTTCCCTTTACTCTCTTATAACAAACAACTGCTAACCCACATTTGACTCTTTGTTTTTCGTCTCCTCTTCTCTCATCTCTCCTCCAAAACCCAAAACCCCAGATGGGGAAGTACATTAGGAAGGCCAAAACGGCAGGGGAAGTTGCCGTAATGGAAGTCTCCCAGGCTTCCCTCGGTGTTCGCACTCGAGCCAAAACCCTCGCGCTCCAACGCCTCCAGAAATCCTCGGCTTCTCCTCCGGCTACGATTGCTTCGGCTCAGTCTAAAGGAGACGGCTCGTATCTCCAGCTCCGGAGTCGACGGTTAAAGAAGCCGCCGGTTGTGGTGCACCACCATGATTCGAAGAGGCACAAGCAGCAGCAGCAGACACAGCAACGGGGGAGTAAGAAGGATAACTCTGGAGAGAATCTTAACCCCAGTTCGAATTCGAGGGTTCGTGTGGTTGGCGGCACGGATTCGGAAAAGAAAAAAGAAGGTGGAGTTGGAAGCCAAGGCATTGCACAAGAAGAAGATAATGGGAATGATAATGTTATCAACTGCATCAATATTAACGATAATAATAATGAGAGCAATGATTGTGGAGGTGTCGAAGCTTCTTTTGGGGAAAATATTTTGGATAATGAAGCTAGAGAGAGGTTGGTTCAGTTTTTTTCTCCTATTTTTGTTTATTTATTATATACATTGGATTTGGTATTTTGGGTTTTTTTTATAATTTTAATTGCCTATTCTTTTGAATGAAGAAAACACAAACTCTTGACAATAAAAAAAACTTAGAAATTTTCTCTTTGTTATTTGATTTTTAGAACCCATGAAACGTAGATATTTTTACTTCAACTAAGTTCTTGAGTTTTTTAGTTTTAGGAGGAAGAATTGTAAATATTTGGACTATATTTCATGTATTTTTGTTAAACCATGCATTTTCTCTCTCTTGCTATTGATGTCTTAGACACCTAGTTTCAACACAAACATGAAAGATGCAAAAGAGAAACCTTAATTCATGTTGGGATTCTGCTATAAAGAAAATATCTGCTAACTAATGGGATTTCTTTTTACTTTCGTTTACACATTTTTTCCATATTTCTTTTTGTTTATAGACTCTAATTTTGTTTTATTTCCCCCTAAGTTTTTCCAGTACTTTTTCTGGCAAGGTTTAGAAATTTTCCTTACGATATAAGATTTTTTGTGAATCAATTGCAGAGAAGAAGTGTTCTTTATTCGTTTGAAATTGTTTTAATTTTATCTCTCGGATCTGTTTCTGTAGTATTTTCCCCTGCAGACAATTTAAGTCAGTTGGCTTATGACCTTTATTGCCTCACAAACAAAAGTTGGCTATTAATTATTCATTACTGTTTTGGATATTTCTGAATTTTGATATTTTGATTTTGATGGAAGTAAGTAGTTGTATTATGGCAGAAACCCCTGTTTCTGAAATAAAATTATGCCATTACTAGCTATGTTACTAGGACTCGGGTGTGAGTATTGGATATGGTTATGTGGCCGGCACATATATTATGTTCATTTTTTTCTTAAACTTTCTATGTTTTTGAAAGATCATATCCATATCAATATGCCCAATGTCAGACACAAATATTTCAAGAAAATGGAGAGTTCGAAGAACATAAATTACCAGCCTTTCCTTGTCACTTATTACTCATGTTTTGTTAATATAATCGATTTCTGACCCTTTTTAGGTATCTATACTGCCTATTCTTCTAATGGAAAGAAACAAAATGTTTTATTTTTTGGCATGTGGTGGATGCTATGACTTATTCAAGATAAAAATTTACAAAACCATTTTGCGTTTCTTTTCTTTATTCGTGGGCGTTAATGTGCTAATTGAGCTTATCTCTTTGGAAGACATGGTTCTAATCTACTTTATATTTCCATACTTTGAGTATAGGATATAGTGGATGTTAAATCTGATCTTTTGGACATTCTGATAACCAGAAAATCTGTTTTTGTTACTCTTCTTTGTTCGATACTTTTCTAGTTCACTTTGCTTGTTTTCCTTTTAACTATTTGCTTGATTAAGCAACCATACGGAAAAAAAGGGCTTTGTCAGTCCAATTTATCCTTGCAGAAATAAGTTGTTGAGCTGCTCTTTTGTGATTTTAATGAACAGATGAAAATCTTTCATTTATTTCCCCCTGGTTCACAGTCTTTTTGCTTGAACGTTGATGAAGTCTTCTTTTTATTGTACATTGTGGAACTCTTATGCTTAAACATTGTCAGCTTTATTCTTCAAATGATTGGTATGGTCCCGCTTCTACATGCAAAGTTGTTCCTTTTTTGGGGGGTGGGGTTGTAAAGATGAAAAAAGGAATAGTTAATTCTTTTGGTATTGAGTGTTTACGTCTAGATTTTCTCACTTTTCATTAACCAATATCTATTGTTTTTGTGCAGGGGCACTAGGGAGTCAACTCCGTGCAGCTTGATAAGGGACCCACAGAGTATAAGAACCCCAGGTTCAACTACTAGGCCAACCAGCTCAGCAGAGACTAGCCAAAGAGTACAGAATTCAACGAGGCAACACATCCCGACATCAAATGAAATGGATGAGTTCTTTGCTCTTGCAGAAGTAGACCAGCAAAGACAATTCATTGAGAAGTATATATACTATACCCCTTTCATCCTGTTTCTTGTACAATTGTCTGAAACTTTTGCTGAAATTTCAAAGTATATTTGTGGTTTATGATGTGAAAAAAGATGTGGGATTATTTGCAGGTACAACTTTGATCCGGTGAAAGACAAGCCACTTCGAGGACGTTATCAATGGGAGAAAGTGGATCCCTAGACACAATCAGTGTTCCATTAGCACTTAGGTAGTTTTAGCTACTAGGAATTTAGTCTTGGCAGTAAAGGTGACGGTTTTATTTCCATTTTCTATCACCCTTAACTCTTAAAAGAATGTGTCAATTAATGGTCTGTAACATAACGGTAATGAGTTACGAAAATGAAAAAAAGAAAGAAAGAATCAAAGTCCTTTTTCTAACAGATCATCTGAGAAGGGAAGGGGATGGTGTATGTTAGAGTTTAAGAACTTTAGGGTCAGTCAATTAGGCCAGTTGATCTAGTACAGATTTTTTTTTTCTTTTTGTATTTTCCTCCCCTTGTTTGTCTATATTGAGACTCTTTGGATGAAACATGACCCATTTCCTCCTATCTTGTCTTTTGGTTACAACCTTCACAGTTAAATTTTTGCGTTCTTTAAGATGGATGGTGACATTTCATGGTCATGATGGTCATGACTGACTGCTTCCATTAAACTTCTCATGTATAAGACGGATGGTGACATTTCAGGTACTCGTGGGGTAGCAGGTAAGCTTTTTCTTGTTGCTAATTTGTATTGAAAGGAACTTTGGATCATTTCATAAACTCTGCACTTGTTTCTAGAGGTGTGAAAAAAATCCGATCCGAAAATTCTGATATACGATCCATTTCTTAATTTTTGGATGTCGATTATGTTGATGTGTCATCATAACGTAATGTCATGTCATCATTGAAAAAATAAAAAATTATCACGTCGGCAGCTATGTTATTTTTTTGGTTGCGGATATCAAATTGAAACTTAAATTAAAAGTTACGTATAATTTAAAAAAAAAAATTAGGTATTAAAATGGAATAAAAATAATAGTTTAAATATTAAACATATAGTTTACACAAAATTTAATGATTTAATTGATAATGTTTTTATTCAATGATCGTAATTGACTCTATAATGTGGTGATCAATGGGACAATTTACCCAAAAGTTTTACATTAATAATATCACGAGATATACACGATAAGGAAATTGAAAAGTGCTACTCGTAAGCCGTAGCTACCTGAAAATCTCCCGTCCTTTTCCAAATTCGATTTTTGGTTTTATACTTGGGTAAACTACACCAACGATAACTAATGTTTGAGTAAGTATTCATTTTTCCCATTAAAGTTTAAAAAGTAACAAATTGATCATTAATATTATCTAAACTACACCAATGATAACTAATGTTTGAGTAAGTATTCATTTTTCCCATTAAAGTTTAAAAAGTAACAAATTGATCATTAATATTATCGGTTTGTAACAAAATGATCACTCCATCATCGTCTCCGTTAAATTGATAATGTGACAATGTTAACAAAAAGGTAATCTTTAATTTTATCCCTTGACTACTTTTAAAATATCAAACAGGTCATTGAATAATGACTTTATAACTAATTTACCCTTAAAGGCTTTCTAATTTCAATTTTTTCCAAACACCCCACCACCTCCACTATATTCGAACTACATTCCTTACAAAAGGAAAACCACTTCAAACAAACCCTCGCCATATCTTCCCCATCGAAATGTTTCTTTGACAAGTTTTGAACCTGAACAGCCATATAACTAATCGAGACAATCCTTATCAACAAACAGAGCCTCTTTCTCGCACTCCAGTATCAACTACTAAAAGAGTTAAAAATATATATATAATGAGTAGTAGATGTTTAAGTCATGTGCAGAACCAAACAAGCAATTGTTGAAGAAATTGAGTTGATGGAACACTAAAAACACAATCTTAGCACATGAAACGAAATCAAAAGTTCGATTTAGAATGTGATATTTATCAATTTATTAACAATAGAAATACATAGAAGACACCATTATTTTCATCATTACAAGTCAACTTTAAACAAACAAACGAATCGGTTTGTCCAGTTAAGGCATACTCAAAAAGTTCAACCCTGTAAAAGCAAACATTTTTGCACCGCATGCAACAAGAAAGATCTGGAAAAAAAACTCAGATAATATGCAAACAGTTTGGCCACTAAGCAGTTTAGAAAGCCTAGCCTACAAATTCAGCAAGGAAACAGACAAGGTTTATATATTATGGGCTTTCCATGAATAAAATAGCAAGTCATTACAAATTCCAATGAATTAAAAGAAAATTCTAGTTGAAAAACATGTGAGGTTTGAACTTTGAAACTTGAAATAGAGTAAAGCTTCGTAGTGACATTCAACAAAGATTAATACAAGAACTGTGTGTTTTGAGTGTGGGGAGCTCCAACAGCCAAGCAGCAATGTGGGGAAGATATGATGGAAGTTGTGGTTGGAATACAGTGGAAGCTGTGGTGTTGGGAAAAAAATAGATATTAGAAAGTTTGAGGGTAAATTAAATATAAAATCATTGTTCAATGATCTATTTAATGTTTTAGCAGTAGTTTAGAAGTAGAACTAAAAATTAAACTTTTTGTTAACGTTATCACATCATCAATTTAACGGAGATGACGGTAGAATGATTATTTTGTTACAAATCGATAATATTAGTAATCAATTTGTTATTTTTTAAACTTTAGTAGAGAAAAAGAAAAATTACTAAACAATTAGTGACCATTAGTGTAGTTTACCCTTTATACGTTCGCCTTCGTCTTTCTCTCTCGTTCATATTCGAGCTTAAGCCTCAACCCTTGTTTCTTCCAAAACCCTCCGAATGGGAAAATTCATTAAGAAGCCCAAAACGGCATCGGAAGTTGTTGTAATGGAACTCTCCCAGTACCCCCTCGGGGTACGGACCCGATCCAAAACACTCGCCCTTCGACGCCAGAACAAGACTTCCGCTTCTCCGGCTAATGGAGCCGGCTCGTATCTCCAGCTGCGAAGTCGACGGTTAGAGAAGCCGCCGTTTGTGGTGCGCCACCATGATTCGAAGAAACGCCAGCAGCAACAGAAACAGGGAGGTAAGAAGGCTAGTTGTGGACAAAATCTTAACCCTAATTCAGATTCTAGGGCTCGGGCGAGTTGCGGATCAAACTCAGTTCTGGAAAAGAAAACGGGTGAGAGAAGTGGAAGAGAAGACTTGGTGCAAGAAGATAATGGAAATGATAATATTGTTAACTACGCTAATATTAGTGATAAAGCTTCTTTTGGAGAAAACATTTTGGACATTGAAGCCAAAGAGAGGTTAGTTCTTTTCTTCTACTCTTGATTTATTTTATTCATTTCATTGCAAGTTTTGGGTTATTACTATTATTTTTATTGATTATTCCTTTTAATGAAAAATTATTGTGAGTGTTTGATGATTTAATTGAGAATATATAACAGTGTTATCAATTGAAATTCGATTTCAGTGTAATTCTAATGGTGGAAGATTGTTTGGTTATTAAGATTTCTTGATAATTAAGTAATTGACCATGTTCAATATCGTCTTCAAATTATTTCATGTTTGATATTAACTTTTCGCTGAATTCTTGAATTTTAATGTTTTGGGGAGAATTTCAAGTACTTGGACATTTATTTCATATATTTTTGTTAAACCATGCATTTCTTAATCTCTTAATCTATTTTCTGCAGTCTTGCTGAGAAATCAAATCAGTTGGTTTATGTCATTAATTGCTTCACAAGCTAAAGTTCGTCATTATTGATTCTTACAGTTTTAGTTACTTCTTATTTTGATGGAAGTAGACCTCTGATAAGTTGTCTGGTACTATGTTGTGTTCTGTCATAATGGTGCTTAAGGCATGTTATATCGATTTCAAGACAGTTTTGTATCCGTGTTTTGATAGCGATACGTGCTCGTGTTTTATTTAATTTATTGCGTCGAAGAAACCCTTGTTTCTGAAATAAAATTATCATTACCAACCTTCCAAGAGTGTTTAGTTAGTGGATGTTAGTTAATCTGATCTTTTGGCAGTTCTATAAACCTGAACTATGATTTTATCCGAGTTGCTTAACTATGAAATTATCCAAGTGTTCTGATCGTGCTCTTTGCTTGATATTATCCGAGTTGCTTAACTATGATTTTAATGTGTATATTGCATGAACATGTATTTTTCTGCTAAAACCAGTGTTTGGAGCATGCCAATGGGGAAAGAGGATCCGAAACAAATTGAAAACATGGAAAAATCTTTGGTTTATACAAAGCCTCTTATTGTTTTTGGTGCAGGGGCACTAAGGAATCAACTCCTTGCAGCTTGATAAGGGACCCAACAGAGAGTATAAGAACCCCGGGTTTGGGTTCCACTACTAGGCCTACCAACTCGGCAGATACTAGGCAGAGAGTACGGAACTCAACACGGCCACACATCCCGACATCACATGAAATGGACGAGTTCTTTGCTCCCACAGAAGTAGACCAGCGAAGACAATTCATTGAGAAGTACACTATTTATTTCACCCTGTTCCTCAATTTTATGATTGTTTGAAATTTCTGCACAACTCTCTTTTAGTATAACACTATATTGTGGTTATGATCTGATAAAAGATGTGGGCTTATTTGCAGGTACAACTTCGATCCTGCGAAGGATAAGCCTCTTCCTGGACGTTATCAATGGGAGAAAGTGGATCCCTAGACACCATTAGTTTTCCAGCAGGACTCGTATTTCCTGACAATACATCAGTTGTGATGGTGACGGTGTTAGTTCCCTTTTCCATCACCCTTAGTTTTTACTTGTAAAGAAAGAAGTAGGACTGTTAAAAGATGTGTCGACTAACAATCTGTAACATAACAATGGTAACAAGTTACACACACGCACACCAGAAAAAAAAAGATATGAATCGAAGTCCTTTGTCTAACAGATTTTCTGAGAAGGGAAGGGAATGAAGGTGTAGGTTAGAGTTTAGTAACTTTAGGGTCAGTCAATTAGGTCAGTTGATCTGGTACAGAATTGCTTTGTATTTTCCTCCCCTCGTTTGTCTATACTTGTAATGATGGAACCTTTCCGAGAGGACCGAGACACTCGTTGGACTATACATGATCCCTTTCCGAGACACTCTTTGGTCATTTCATGAACTCAAAGGTAACGACGATGCAGCCCCTCACTATGATCGGAAATGATATCGTTTCATCGAGTCATGACCGGCTGCTTCCGATAAACCTCTAGTGTATAAGATGGGGTAAACTTTTATTGTTGGTAATGTGTATTGAAAGGAACTTTAACTGTTTCATACACTGCACTTGTTTATTTGGGAGAATTGTCAATTTGTACAGGGTTAAAGAATATTAAAAAAAGGGAGGACAAAGGGGTATGTTTTATTCAAGGGATGAAGTATCTTTTAGTCCCTGAAATTGGTATTGGCAGTGAACGATAGCTTGGTTCCGCACCTCGTTAGAAAACCTCCCTACACCTATTTGGAGGAAAAAGAATGCGGCGAACCGAAACTTTGATTACATAGCACCTAGAGAATCACAAGCAGCCAACGTACAGCACAAAACAAAACCAAATTTAAATTCACCAGTGACCTGTGCTTTTAATTTTACCCACGAAAGTCATGCAAAAGCACCATAAATGTAGCAAAACTCAAACATTAACAAACTGCCCACTATCCTTAAACCACTCGAGTGAAGGAAATCTCGCAATGCCAGCTTGAGCTAAGGCATGCGCATCTGTGATTCTTTCTCGGAATACAAAACTGACATTCCAAGAGTTGGATACGCAAAGCGCTTTGCATTTGGCTACCAGATTCGCAAACGGGGAAGGAGGGGACCTTGGATTATGGATCCAGCTGACCGCTAATTTGCAATCTGATTCAATCAAGAGTTTATCTCTGCAAACCATCTTGACGACTGGAACAATTCACAAGCTGTCAAAATTGCCACGGAGCTCTGCACTTGAAAATCCGATACACCGATTGATTTTGAGAAGCGGATTAAGCACTCACCATTATGATCGCGCAGCAAGCCTCAAATTCCAGCGTTACCAAACTTTCCTTGAACTGCGGCATCGACATTAAACTTAAACGTACTATGCGCAGGAGTATTCCATGAACCAGCAACCGGTCATTGTTTTGGGATTATGTTGATGGAAATAGCAGCGGGACAACGAATGAAATCGGAAATGGACGAAAACCATATTATAAATTTCAGAGGACAACATCATCAAAAAGACTAAAAATAGAAGAAAAAAAAAGTTACTAGATTCGGAGATTAAAAGCATTATTCAACTATACGAGTTATTTTAATCTCAAAAAGAAGACTTCGAAGAGGAGAAACAACAAACATTCCCTAATCTCGAATTTAAATGACAAAATTACCCAAATAATGTTGGGGGAAGATTTTTTCCCTTATATAATGACCATCATAATTTATTTTCTCAAATAGGAATGTCTCTATAGCGTTGAAAGGAAGTTTCTAGACATGAACTATCTTATATCTTCACGAAGATGAACGGAAGATCCGACATTGTCTCCCAAAATGCATGCATGCCCGTAAGCAACATCTTCTAGAAATCGTAGATAATCCGGACATATTCTATACCCCGGATGTGAAGATCTTTTTCAATTACATTATGTAAGAAAATTTATCAATTTAAATTGTCAATTTGAGTTCCTTTCCGTATCGTATATATGGATCCCCTTATTATTATTGGCTCTTTGACTGCTCAGATAGTCGGAATCGTTAAGGTCAAATGATGTAATTATTGTTCTTTTTCTTTACTTTCTTTTCCCAATATTTGATTCTAAAAATGTGTTCAAATCAAGTCCAAATTTAAGAGAAAAAAAGTATATTAATGGGTTTAGGGTTAAAAATAGTAATAAATTATTATGTTATAAAATTTAAAAATAGACAACACTTAACTCTAGAGGTTTGTATTTCTAGGATCTAATATATTTTTTTTAAATCCTCTCAAATATTAAACATACTTTAAATTTCGACTCACCTTAACTCCATATATATAAATATATTTATCAGCATATTCCTCTTTTGAATTTTATAACTACTTTTATATTTTTATCATAATTTATTAAAAGTGAATTTTTAACTTATATTTTAGTTTTATATTTTTAATAATTAATTTAATTTTATAACACAGTATATAGAAAAATAAACTCAATCGAAATGAAATAAAAATCAAAGGACCCAATCATGTAAAAAGGTAAAAGTTTCGAGGCTAATGTTTAAATTTTAAAAGTTATAAAAATCGATTTCTTTTCCTTCAAGACAAGTGTTTCATATTTCCCTCTTCGATCAGATTCAGAGGAAAAGAAATTCCCCCTTTTTTAACCTAAATCTAGGCAAGCGTTTCTCATCGTGTCGCCTTCTTTCTCCGTCGTCGCATCCTCGTCGACGTACGTCTTCGAAACGTCACCGTTTCTCTTTTGCCGACGAAATACTGAAGCTAAACTCTCTAATTTAACTCTCCTTTTTTCTTCGTTTATTTACGACTTAAAAATTAAGGGAAGTTAGGGTCTTTTATTTTTATTTTGGGGAAGAATTAAAATGTCGGCTGGTGCGGCGACCATGGTCAGCTCGGCTGGAGGGTTACTGGCGATGCTTAACGAGAGCAATCCTCAGTTGAAATATCATGCTCTTTCTAATTTAATTAGCTTCGTTGACCAATTTTGGCCTGAGATCTCCACCAGCGTTCCTATCATGTAAGCTTTTTTTTTTCTGTACTACTTTCTTTGGTTTAGCTAGGGTTTAGGTTTTGGTTGTTTTGATCTGATTGCTAGGTGGGCAAATTGAATGAAACGAAGTGGAGAAAATTATGGTTTGAAGTTCAGTAAGTTAAGTGTTGCAAATTTCAAATTTTAGTAAGCTTGGGTTGTTTTACTTGTTCGTGGAGATTTGGCCTGTTTCAACCTTTCGGTTTTCGAATTTTTATTAGCTGGCAGAGGGTGAGAATTTGGATTCAACAGTTAGATTGTGGCAATACTGGGCATGTGATAATTGATTACTTTAGTTAAGCTATATGTTTTGCATAAGTAAGTTTCAGATTGGGAAGAACTAAAATCAATCATTTCGTAATGTAGTTTATAGTTTGTTCACTTAGGAAATTGAGCTTTTGAGTGAATAAAAACACTGGGGACAATGTTTTTATTTCTTTTTTGAAAATTTCCACTAGATTAAGTTTTATGTTCACTTTATTTTGGAAATTGCATATTGATTTGCATTGGGGGTGAGATAGGGATGGGGATATTAGGTTTATCTTTACTTATCTGCTTCCAGCTTATAAATTTATTCTGTTAAGATTTATTACATTCATAGGTAGTTTGTTTAGGTTATGTGGGCTGTAAATAGGAGTGATTCCAATTCAAAATAGTGTACTTAATGAGTTTTGGATCCGGATACTGATCTTATGCTTGTGTTTTTCAGAGAAAGTTTGTATGAAGATGAGGAATTTGGTCAGCATCAGAGACAACTTGCTGCATTACTTGTCTCGAAGGTCCTCCTCTCTTGTTCATCTCAGTCTGCATTCATGTGCATATGCATGCTCATAACCAAATACTTGCAACTAGCATAATTTCTGGAAACTGAACCAATGCCTTCCTTTAGTTAAGGGGGAAAGTCTGCACTCCTTGAACCGCATCTTTTGCCTTTTCTGGATAAGTTTTCCTAATTGAGTTTACTGATTTAGCAAATGTTAGTAACCCAACAAAAGTAGTCAACTTCTGGAAGACTAACAAAAAAAAAGAGTCTGGTTTAATATAATCTATTAGAGGTCATATATTTCTATATATGTATGTTGGTAGGTAAAAATATGTATGTAATATTTATAATTTTTATCAGATTCCATCATGTTAAAACAATGCTGCTGTTTAGTTTGTGGAACATTGTTAGGACTGCTTTTGCAATTTGTAATGAGATGTTACTGAAGTAGATTACTTATCTCTTATTGCTTTTTTCTTTAACTTTGGCATTTTGACTTTCACTTAATGTATGTTATTATTTCCTTCAGGTCTTCTATTACTTGGGTGAACTCGATGATTCACTGTCTTATGCTCTTGGAGCTGGGCCTCTATTTGATGTTTCTGAGGATTCCGATTATGTTCGTACTCTCCTATGTAAGAACTTAGATTCATTTTCTATATTTTGTGATCATTAACAACAAGTTGATTAATTGAAATTTGTTAGTACGTCGGTTATGGTTGTATTTTGCTGAAACTATTTATTAGGCAAGCCTAAGTGGCTCTTTACTGTTTATTATAATTATTTCAGTTGTTTTTATTGGATATACCAAACAGCTGATGGGTTATGTTCTTAATTTTAGCCAAGGCAATAGATGAGTATGTCAGCCTTCGTTCAAAGGCAGCAGAATCAAGTGATGACGCAGCAAAGGTTGACTCTAGGTTGGAAGGCATTGTAGAGAGAATGCTGGATAAGTATGTAGAATTTTCTTTCTTATCTGATGACATATTTTGGGGTTTTCCTTGCTATCTAACTATATATTATTTTCATTCTAGGTGTATCCTGGATGGAAAATACCAACAAGCCATGGGAATTTCAATTGAGTGCCGGAGACTGGATAAACTTGAGGAAGCAATAACAAGGAGTGATAATGTTCATGGGACTTTAGCATATTGTATCAACGCCTCTCATTCGTTTGTTTATCGTCGAGAATATCGACAAGATGTACGGAGTTTCTTTTAGTATTTCACAAAACATCTATAGTTTGTATAAATTGCATAGCCAGTAGTTTCTCGGACAATTTTTATTACAACAATTAATATTGCTTTATCAGTTGCTCTTTTCTTGGAATTTGGTGCAACCTCGCAAATTCTGCAAGATCCTTAATGCTTTTGATCTTTCGTTCTTGCAGGTGCTTCGGCTTCTTGTTAAAGTTTATGAGAAGCTTCCTTCTCCTGATTATTTGAGCATTTGTCAGTGTCTCATGTTCTTGTATGAACCTGAAGGTGTTGCAAATATATTGGAGAAACTTCTCCGCTCTGAAAATAAGGAGGATGCTCTTTATGCTTTCCAAATTGCATTTGACCTTGTGGAGAATGAGCACCAGGCTTTTCTCTTAAATGTACGAGATCGCCTTTCAGCTCCCAAATCTCTTCCTTCAGAATCAGTGCAGCCAGGCTCCAGCAATCCTGCTCATGCTCAAAATGAAAATTCTACTGCTCCAGAGGATGTTCAGATGACAGATGGATCTTCTGCTGTTCATGAGGCAGATCCTAATGAAGTTATGTATTCTGAGAGACTGACAAAAATCAAAGGGATTTTGTCTGGAGAGACATCCATACAATTGACACTACAATTCTTGTTCAGTTGCAACAAGTGAGGCATTGATTTCCCCCCCCCCCATCTTCCTGTGGAACTAACTTGTCATGTTTCTTATTTATATTTACATTACAAGCTATCAACTGGTTCTCATTTTTCTTCTTGTAGATCTGATCTATTGATTTTGAAGACAATAAAACAGTCTGTTGAAATGAGGAATAGTGTTTGTCACAGTGCCACAATCTATGCTAATGCAATAATGCATGCTGGAACAACTGTAGATACGTTCCTGAGGGACAATCTGGTAAAGCTTTTGCCTTGCTGTATCTTTACTTTTACTGTTTTAGACTAATGTACATATTGGGCATACTTAATTTTAAGACTCTGATCATCAGGATTGGCTGAGTAGAGCTACCAATTGGGCCAAATTCAGTGCAACAGCTGGGCTTGGTGTTATTCACAGAGGACATCTGCAGCAGGGGAGGTCTCTGATGGCTCCATACCTGCCCCAAGGTGGGGCTGGTGGTGGGAGTCCATATTCTGAAGGCGGGGCTCTATATGCTTTAGGTCTCATTCATGCCAACCACGGTGAAAGCATTAAGCAATTCCTTCGTGATAGCCTAAGCGGGACTAACATAGAGGTATATGAATCCCTTGGTCCATGAAAGCTTATCCCTTTATTACCAATAGATCATTAAGTAAAGAGAAATTAAGTGTCAACTTACATTTACTCGCAAGAATTTATGCTTATCTATTTGTTCTTCCTTAGCTCTATCCCATTTGTGCATAGTTGGACTTTCCGATTGTCGGACAAAATGGCCTTACCCTTAAGTAAATTGGAACTAAAATATGGTATAATTCTTATGCAGGTTATCCAACATGGTGCATGCTTAGGTCTCGGTTTAGCAGCTCTGGGAACTGCTGATGAAGATATTTATGATGACATCAAAAGTGTGCTTTATACTGACAGTGCTGTTGCTGGTGAAGCTGCCGGCATTGGTATGGGTTTGCTTATGGTCGGAACTGCTACTGAGAAAGCAAGTGAGATGCTTGCTTATGCACATGAGACACAGCATGAGAAAATTATCAGGTAAAGTTTTTTTTTTGTGATCTTGGTATTGAGATGGGTTTTATTGCGGAAGTGGTCTTTACTTGTGTTCTTCCCATATGGTTTCAGGGGTTTAGCATTGGGGATAGCCCTTACAGTTTATGGAAGGGAAGAAGAAGCAGATACATTAATTGAGCAGATGACTCGGGATCAAGATCCTATACTACGTTATGGTGGCATGTATGCTCTAGCATTGGCCTATAGGGGAACTGCTAACAACAAGGCCATTCGTCAGCTGCTACACTTTGCTGTATCAGATGTGAGTGATGATGTTAGGAGAACTGCTGTCTTAGCTCTGGGGTTTGTCCTTTACTCGGAGCCAGAGCAGGTAGGTGCTGTTTCTCTCATTTGTCTTGATGGGGTGGGATTGATATTTGTTTCACCTTTTACCCCATCATTTCCGACTCTAATGTACCTTTGTGATTTCTCATTGGTCTATATCAATTTATGAAGATCTCACTGTTTTGCCTGTTCACTACTGCAGACTCCTCGAATTGTTTCCTTACTATCCGAGTCATACAACCCACATGTTAGATATGGTGCGGCACTTGCAGTGGGCATTTCATGTGCTGGCACAGGATTGAGCGAGGCCATATCATTGCTAGAACCCTTAACATCAGATGTTGTTGATTTTGTTCGTCAAGGTGCCCTCATTGCAATGGCTATGGTCATGGTCCAGATCAATGAAGCCAGTGATTCTCGTGTAGGAACATTCAGGTATGCTATTATTATATCTTGTTCTTTTTCTTCCTTTCCTCTGGATGTGTAACTATTGTCCATATATGTGTTATTTAGCTAACTTCTTTCTATCTCCTTAAACTAGGCGGCAATTAGAAAAGATAATACTTGATAAACACGAAGACACAATGAGCAAGATGGGAGCAATCCTGGCCGCTGGGATCCTTGATGCTGGTGGAAGAAATGTAACCATAAGATTGCTTTCCAAGACAAAGCATGACAAAGTCACTGCAGTTGTTGGTCTTGCAGTTTTTAGCCAATTTTGGTATTGGTATCCCCTCATTTATTTTGTAAGCTTGTCCTTTTCACCCACAGCTCTTATTGGACTGAACTACGACCTGAAGGTTCCAAAATTTGAGTTCTTATCACATG